GGGCCCTGCCAGCAGCACGGGGCCAGCAGCGCCACCAAGCACAACCCAGTCACTGGACGGCCGATACATGCATGGCACATGCACTGGACAGCTCACCATCAACACAAGGGACGAACTGATCAAAGACGCATGATCAAAACCACATCCCACTAGCTGCACGTGCTTCCCAAGATGGGGCACTGTGAGCATAGAATGCCGCGAGCGACCCACATCTGTCCGTCTCAGGCTGTGATGCCATTGTCACAAGCAGCAGTGCTATCAGGCCTGGCAAGGAAAAGAGGGCAGCACCTACAGTTGCTGGGGGTACGGGACCATCACCTTGCAGAAGCAGAGATGAGCCCAAATGGACAGGGTTCGAAGTGTGCGGCTTGGGCCCATCTCCAACAGGGACAGACCCATCTAAGCTGGTACATTGTCTCCGACCAGATGCTTCAGAGGAAGGCTACAATCCCCATAATGCATCTCATTGTTCTCTATGGTCCTGATCCAAAGCCCATTACATTCAGTGTAAAGATTCCCAAAGGGTTGTGGATCAGGCGCTGTACTTTGTGGGGGGTTTCTTCTTACAATCCAGATCAGAACTTCATGGCTCAGGCCTTAACTCGAGTCTGGGTCTACCTGAAGCTCTCCTGATCTTTCTGGCTCATCATCCGGCAGGATCAGATATTACTAGCAGAAAGGAAAATCCTGACACTGGTTTTTATTTTAAAAAAAAAGTGCCTAGCAGCTGGGAAAAAACAACAGAGAGAAAATTATCCCAGAGGACGGGACTGTGGAAGCGGGGTCTGCAGTCGGATTCAGGATTTGTTGTTCTTTTCTGTCTGGGGAACGGAACAATGCAAAGCAGAGCATGGAAACTAAATCCACCCTTACACAACTGGGGGAGGGGAACCCTACAGGGATCTGTTTAAAATTTTCAAGGCCTGTTCATTCTTCCTCCTTCCCACACAGTTGGTCACCCACATTTCTCCCTCCTCTTCCCCACTCCACCCCTGACTTCCTCCTCACAGCGACAAGCACGTTTTTTCCCCTCTGTACGCCCTGGTCATGGTTTGGTGCCCTGTCCTGGGAGGACAGAGGAACATAGAGTTTGTACAGCTTCAGTCATGGCATGTTACATTGCTCAGATCTGGATACCGTGTGTTTGATCTTCCCCTTCTGAAAGGAGGGGGTTTGGTTATGGTCAAACAGTGAAAGCAGGCAGGGGTGAGAACTGGATTTCCTGTCCTCGGCTCAGGGGCAGGGGGAGCGGGTGTTACATTGCAGGGCGCTGTTGCATGCCAGACTGGCACAATACGATATATTTACATAGTATAATTCATCGTGAGGTTTACTTAAGCCCATTAGGAACTGTGGCCACTCTTACCATTACAGTGGCTAGAACCTTTTAAAACAAATAAGCCAAGCCTAAGTTACATGAGACCTGATCCAGATCTCCCATACACCACTTTTAGACTCTACCCACTTTGTACCCACTTCAGTGGGGTGACTCCTGATTTACATCTGTGACAATGAGAGTGAATTCGGCCCAGAACGTCTGGGTTCAGAAAAGTCCAGTTAGTATTTGCTGCACTGACTATGAAGCAGCTAAAGGGACTGGGGCAAGTCAGGGATCCAAACCAACAGCGTGAGTCCTTAGTTTCTAGTAACAAATGCAGCCTGCTGGTCATTTCATCACTAGAGTTAATTTAGGGCAGTGGGTTTCAACCTGCGGTCCACAGACCCCTGAGGGTCTGCAGACTACGTCAGAGTTTTCCAAAGGAGTCCGCACCTCCATTCGAAATTTTTTTAGGGCTCTGCAAATGAAAAAAGGTTGAAACCCCTAATTTAGTGCAGCCAGCCAGCCCACAAATTCAATGGAACCCCTGTCCCAGGGCAGTGCTCTGAGCCATTCACTGCTATGAAGGGCTCCCTGGGACCATAGAGTTCAGAGGACATTTGTAAATAAAACAAGACATGGACAAAGGGAAATCCTGTCTGTAAATTCTAAACTGACACTCGGCTAAGTGTCTATGATCCTTCTTTACAGGTATCTCTGCTGGGCCTTCTCCTCAAAGCCCAAATCCAGGCCTAGAGTCGTCAGGGACAACTAGTTAGCTAGAGAAGAAGATTGCAGGACTCTCAATCTGTCTGGGTGTCCCTCGAAGTGCAGGATCCCTGCTGAGTCATGAGTCAGGGATGAGAACAGCCACCCGCCTGGCTGAGAGCTCTTTGTGTTTAGACTAGCACCAGGTCCAATCAGCACTAGGATTCGCAGTCTGTTACCCTCCAGTTTTTAAGCCCTCAGCCCTTTGATCCACGCGAATTTCCGAATGACCCGTGTGACAGCACGAGCCTTCAGCTAGTTATCGTCCTTGGTCCGACAGCCGTGCTTAGGAGCCTTAGTCAAGATCAGCGCCCCATTGTGCGAGGCGCTTTATAAAGGCACTAGTGAGATTCGCTCCCTGCCCCCAGGCACTTACAGTCTAAACAGAGAAGACGGCCAAAGGGTGGGAGAGGAAACAGAAGCCAATGTCGGTCAGACCCGGTGAGCTCCACCAAGGAGAAGGAGGCCTGACAGTCAGTCATTCAATTCCAGAGACAGGGCCACTTTGGGGAGATGCCAGGCTGGGGCAGGTCCCTCCAGGCCAAATAGCTGCATTAGAACTCTCCCTAGGAGCTTTTCAAATTCCGGAATCCACCAGAAGAAATGCCCCAATCCAAAGCCCATTGAGTCAATGGGAGTTTTTCCTACTGATGTCACTGGGCTTTGGGTCAGCCCTAAAGGCACAGGCACCGACTCCGTGGGTGCTTTGGGGCTCAAGTGGCGCCGCCGATCAGCTGTGCTGCGGCCAGGGGAGGCACTAGCGGGAGGGCGGATAGCAGTGAGCAGGTGGGGGCTTTGGGGGAGGGGTTGGAGCGGGGTCCGGAAGAGGTGGAGCGAGGATGGGACCTCGGGGGAAGGAGCGGAGTGGGAGTGCAGCACCCCTGGGGAAAATTACAAGTCAGCACCTGTGCCTAACGGTGAATTCTGGACTGTAGATTTACATCTGGGGACGAGCTGGTAACGCCATGGTTACTCCACGCAAAGGCCCTCTACAGCTTCTCAAAACACATGCACCAGATGGTGGTGGTCTAGACTTTCAGTTCCCCCTAGGCAAGGCCTGATGCATGTTCAGGGGGAGCTTTAGGTGGGCAAGAACTGGTGGTTCAGATCTAGCGTTTGCAGCCGTGGTGTCCAGTGAATGGCTAAGAGTTACAGCGACGGACACTCTGCGGGACTTGTGTGTGTGGATGTGGCTACAGGTCACCTGTTGGCTCAGTGGGTGCTTTGCCTTTGACCTTACAACGTCCATAGTACAACTTCTAGTAGAGTCTGTAACCAGGCAGTGGCCTGGTTGGCTTGCCTCCACCACTAACACTTGGTTAGCAACCATGGCAGCAGTTCCACCCCTGCCTGAACCCTAGTCCAGCCCGTGGATGCTTTCCTGGAACTACTTTGGCACGTTTCCTTTGCAGTGTCCATGGTACCCCCACACCAGGCCTGCATCACTGGCTCGGCCAGGCCTGCTCCCTCCCAGCTATGTGTGTGGTAGGACATCCCAGAAGGCACTGCTACACATGCTGCTGGCGCCAGTCTGGGCAGGCTATCACCTGCTGAGGCACTATGGGATAGTTTTCCCAGAATGCACTGGTACAGTGTGGTGGGGGTGGATTCACACTATACTATTTATTTGGATTTTGGAAGTCCCCCAAAGTCTCATTCATGGCCCCACTGTGCGAGGTGCTGTACAAACACAAACACAGCCTTTGCCACAAAGGACTACAGTGAAGAGCATTATGCAAATGAGTTATGTGCAGAGCTTCATGAGAAAGACGCTCCTGTCGGGGAAGTGGGATTATTCTTCAGTGCAAATGACTAGAGTGCTGCTCATGGCGATGGTTGTGGAAGCTCCATCACTGGAGGGCTTTAAGGGCAGGTTAGACAAACACCTGTCAGGAATGGTCGAATTATTACTTAGTCCGGCCTTGAGTGCAGGGGACTGGACTAGCTGACCACCTGAGGTCCCTTCCGGTCCTACACTTCTGGGATTCTATGGTTAGAGAGAGAGGGAGCTGCCAGGGGGATGAGATTGGGAGAGGTGTGAGGACTGGAAGGGAGTGGCCACGGGCGGCATATTCACTGCCGTTTGGGGAGGCTGGCCCCCTGCCCTGCCTCTTCTGCCCGAGGCCCTGCCCCGTCCGCCCCTTTCGCCCGAGGCCCCTTCTGCCCCCCTGCTCTCACTGGCCGGCCCACTGGCGCAGCCCCGAGCCCTGGCCAGGCCCCGGAGCAGCCCCGAGCCTCAGACAGCCTGCTGGCGCCTGGAGCAGTCCGGAGGAGCCCTGAGCCCCAGCTGGCTGGCCGGGACTGAGTCCTTAACCTGGGCTGCTCAGAGGAGCTCTGAGCCCTGCCGTGGCCCACCCCAGGGATGCGACGGGGAGCATTAACAGAGGTTGGGGTCCCCCAGCCTCCATTACTCCCCACCCATGGGAGTGGCGGGTTGGAGAAGAGGAGGGGTAGGTCGGGGTAGAGAGGAAGATGAGCACAGCAGGTGCACTGAGACAGAGAAAAGCAAATGGTATCAGTAGAAACCAGGTTCAATTAAGCAGTGTGGGGCTGTATTGGGAACATAGCCAACCACGGGGAAAAATTAGTGGGTGCTCTGCACCCACCAGCTGCCAAGCTCCCCTCCCCGCCCCACCTCACCTCCGCCTCCTCCCCAGAGCGTGCCGCGTCCCCGCTCCTCCACCTACCTCCCAGTGCTTGCCGCCGCCAAACACCTGTTTGGTGGCGTAGCAAGCTCCGGGGGGGAGGGGGGAGGAGCAGGAACATGGCGCGCTCAGGGGAGGAGGCGGGGCCGGGGCAGGGATTTGGGGAAGGAGTCCGAATAGGGGCAGGGAGGGGGTGGGGTTGGGGCGGGGACTTTGAGGAAGGGGTTGGAATAGGGGCAGGGCAGGGGCGGGGCAGGGGTGGAGTCGGAGTGGGGCCGGGGCAGAGGAGGGTCAAGCACCCACCGGCGTGGGTAGAAGCCCGCGCCTATACCAGGTTTGGAGTAAGTGTCATCCACTGGTGTGTGTATGTGTGTGTTACTGGTCCTCTGCTGTGCTGATCCGCAGCGATAGAAGCTACCCACTAGGTTCCTTAGCTCACGCTGTAAGTGCTTATGCTTTCAGCGCTGGAGATCCCTGTTCAACCCCTGGTACATCGGCCAAGAGGGCAGTCGTCCCATAAACAGTTCAGAGGACAATGTCACGAGTGGCTATGACATGATCGTGCTGGTAGATAGATGGCACCTTACTGTTCAGAGTAGTGCCTAGGAGAGGTCTGGCTACTTGTCTCAACACTGATTTCAAATGCACCCAGCACGGGAAGATACAGCACCTACACTTTCCCACTGCGTCAAATTCACCCCCACTGTCAGCAGGTGCAACTCCACCAACTTCAAAGTGATTTAAGCTGAGTGGTGCTAGGTTACCCCAGGGCTGGCTTTGGCCCAGTATGTTGACTCCACCTTTGTTCAGTTAAATTCTTCAACTCTTATTTCATACCCTGCACATACACACTGGTTAGTTTCTGCTGCTGATCAAGAACCATCACAGGAGTAAGCATTGACAGTCATTCCCATCATTTCTTCCACTCCCACACCCAAATTAAATGTTATTCAGTGATGTGTCACAACAGAGTTGACTTGCTTAAAAAGCCCGGGGCAGCCTGTCATGAGATGTGGCCGCTCATACGCTAACTCCAGCAGGGACTGAACCTGTCATCTTCAAAAACACAGGTCTCTATTGCATAAGCTAAATTAAGTAGCAGACTTATATCTGGGATCTGCCACTAGAGGGAGACATGCTTATACACACTAAACCAGCGTATCATAAAAACAGGGCAGCTAGCTTGGAAATTCTTTAAAAATATTCTGGTTTCCAGTTCCTTTTTAAAAACCCCCACAAGATTAAATTTCCCATGAACTAGATCTTAGCTCAAAATGCTGGAGATGATGTGAGAATTCTTTTCTAACGAGGGTGCACAAAAATACAATACAATAAAATAAAAACACACCAGAACCCTATTAGATCCAGTCAGGCAACTGGTGAATCTTTAAACAGTAGAAACCAGGACGATCGCATCGTAAGGTGCTCAGATATTACGGTGATGAGAGTTGTAAGATGACCTAGGTAGAAATGAATCGGACTGTAGCAGTCAGGTTAGCTTAATGACAGTGTCCTCATTGTTAACAGCCAATAATACTGTAGATGTACTCGCTAGATTTCCCTTTTCCTGCCCTCCCATATGGATCAATCCTTTTGTAGACTCATGTGGTCCCAAGAGACCTACTGTCTTCTCTAAATTCCCAGGGTAGGTTTTCCTTGCATTAGTAAAGCAGCTTTCTGCTTGGGAAACTCAGCTGAATTACTGTGGCAAAGCAGTGAAAAAACACTGGCTGGTGGATAAGTTCACCGGATCCCAGTAATTCGTGCACTGGCAAGCGGCAGCTGATTCCCCCGTTCCCGAACTGCTGGTTCTCAGAGGTGATCTCCTCTATAGGGGACTGACATGGGGAGAGATTTTTGTCCACAAAATCTAGGTAGCTGTAAACCACTGAACTACTTGCTAATAATGGATTTCCCAAATCCACTGGAAACTTCATTCTGAATGAAACACGTTGGGACAAACCCATCTGTGCTGCAACTCCACTGGCGTGGACTGTGGCCCATTGTAATCAGCGGCAGTAGCACAATTCACTGCAAAGCCCCACGTGTGGTTGCTAGGGCTTTGCCAGTCAGAGATCTGTGGCAAGGACCGCCAGTTCCTCAGCAGTGCTGCTGAAATCCACAGAGCGAGCAGTGGTTAATATTGAGCAGCCGCTCCTCCTCATAGGTGACAGCTGTGGTGCACCACAGTAACCGCACTAATACCGCGTTCGGACACCACCTAGCCCAGCCCCAAAGCCTGCTCCCAATTATTTTCACTTCCCCCTTTCCAACGGTACTGTAACCTTTCCCAGCTCAGGCCGTTTGCTGGAATTTTAAGGATAAACTGTTCTTAGCCTGGTCCATCCTCAAAGCACTTTCCGGGCCCTGACCAAGGAGTGAGGCAGGTCAGCATCATTTTACCTATTATTTACAGAGTATTGTTCTCTATTCTGCAGATGGGGAAACTGAGGCACAGAGCGGCCAAGTGACCCACCCATGGCCAGAACTGGGAGTAGAACTCAGAAGCTCCTGGCTCCCAGCGCTATGCTCAGGACCATCAGTCCTTGCCTCCTGCTCTCGCTCTTCCCGTTGCTGGGTAAAGCAGGGCTGGCTGCGATAAAGCCACAGCCATTCAGTCCTCTGCCTCCGCGCAGCAGAACATCCCCCCTCATTCTCCTTTCCCCGGAGCCTACGATTTGTAGGTGCGGCATGCGTCGTGCCTCCACTTGGAGCTCACTTTGTCCAGCAGGTGGCGCGTGCTCTCCCGGAACTTGCGTTGGGTGAAGTAGAAGAGGATGGGGTCCAGGACGCTGTTCATGCTGGCAAAGGGCCTGGTGCACTTGTAGGCGATGGCGAAGGTTTGCAAGACCAGGCAGGGCACGCCCGCCGAGGAGCGGATGATCAGGTAGATGGTCTTGGTCAAGTGGAAGGGGAAGAAGCTGATGGCGAAGACGATGACCACAATGATGATCATCCGGATGGCCTTGTCCTTCTTTTTGCGCACGGCCAGGCCTATCATCTCATCCTTCTGGCAGAGCAGCTTGGTCATGCAGCAGTAGCACACCAGGATGGAGACAAAGGGGATGAGGAACCCCGTGACCGTCAGCGTCATGCCGTAGGGGAAGTAGCTGGCGGAGCGGTCCGGGGGACTGAGGTCGTAGCATACGGTCCTGTTCCTCTGGATGCCCGTGGAGGCGAAGACGAAGGTGGGCAGGCACTGGGCGATGACGATGACCCACACCCCGCCGCACACCATCCAGGTGAACCTCTTGCCCCTCTTCTTGTGCCAGGACGACAGAGGGTGGCAGATGCCCAGGTAGCGCTGGACGCTGATGCAGGTGAGGAACAGGATGCTGCCATGCAGGTTGCTGTAGAACTGGAAGCGGACGAACTTGCAGGTGAAGTCCCCGAAGGGCCAGTAGTCCTTCTGCGTGTAGTTGTAGATGAGCAGCGGCAGGGAGCACACGTACAGCAGGTCGGCTGTGGCCAGGTTCAGCATGTAGATAGCAGTGCGGGTCAGCACCTTCCTGGAGAGCCAGATCTGCACAATGACGATGAAGTTCAGGGGGAGCCCCACCACAAACACCACGGAGTAGACCAGGGGCAGCAGGATCTGCTTGAACTCCTCATGGAAGGTGCAGGAGTTCGTCGCCGCAGCCACAGTATAGTTCTCCATCTCCATGCTGGGCTCGGCCTAGACCCAGCGGGCTTTCTGGACCAGAAGAGCCTGCAAGCAAAACAGAACAGGACAGTCAGGAACTCATTCCATACCAGGAACCATGCGTCACGTCGATACACCGGCACGCATGATAGCCATGCTGCCATCAAACTAGCCCCGGACCAAGGAGCACAAGCACATCACCCCCATCCCCCAAATGACCCCACTGGCCCTTCATTCAGCTCAAGGTCCAGCTCATAGATCTGAGGGCCACCAATATGATCATCTAAGGCTCCTGCATAGCCCAGGCCAGAGGATTTCACCCAGTGACTCCTGCATTGACCTCAGAACTACTCGCGAAGCCAGAGCATAGCGTCTCCTCCCATCTTGATTTAGTGAGGCTGCTCTCCTGTCCTCCCCCCACCCCTCTCCATGACCACCCAGCCCCCGACTGCACAGAATTGCTCCTCTCGCTTCAATCTCCTTCATGGACCTCGTCTCTTCCCGTTCTGTTCCCCATTCCCCTAGCACCAGCCTCCTCCCCTCCCCTCATGATGTATTAATACCACTCTGGGCCCAGAGACCCCATGCGAGATCAGAGCCCCATTGTGCTAGGTGCTGTACACATGCACAGCGAGTCCCTGCACTGAGGCGCAGCCAATGAAAACAGACGAGAGACAAAAAGTGGGAGCAAGGAAGGGTTAGCTGCCCGCGGGGCTTTGAGACAGACAGAGATTAAATTATTTGCCCAAGGCCACACAGTGAGTGTGTGTCAGAGACACAAATCAAACCTAGCTATCCTGGATCCCAATCCAGTGCTTTAACTACACAACAATCCTTCTCCTTCCCATTGCCACGCTGTCGGTGCAAGTGCCTTCTGCCTTGCAGCTGCTGCCATCTCGCCATGCCTCTGAAAACATGTCTCCATCTCTTTCCCTCCACTGTATTATCCCACTCTCCAAGCAAATTCATTCAAGTGTATAAAGCCCTTAGGGAGAGCTAGATTTTAGACTCTTTGGGAACAGGGACTGTGTCTACCTCTGTGTTCACACAGGGCCTGGTACAGTGGGTGGCTGGTCCCGATCCGGGTCTCTGGGCGCTAGTGTAATATAAACACTCACCTGGCATAAATCAGCAGCAGCATCGCTCCACTGAAGTCAACTAAGCTACAGTCAAGTGAGAACATGGTCCCCAATAAGCAATGGTAAACAGAGCACGTATGGAAGATGCTACCTAGTGTAAAATGGCCCAGAACTGGCGATGGCTCACTTTGTCCCTTTGTCCCAGGAAGTTTGCTGGCTGCTGCTTCCCACAGGCAGGCCATGCCCCCGGAGTGCGTCAGGCCGGGACACGCTGTTGTGCTAACGATAACTGTTTATCTACTGAATCATAAAAGACACCGGGTCGAGGTGGAAGGTTCTCTGGTGAGTTACGACTCCAGTGTCTGAGAATGGTCGTCAGTGGCGCAAGAGAGCAAGCGGGGCCAGACGCCCTGCGTCAAATCCATTCCTGCTGGAGCCGCAGTGACTTGGATCCAGCCCACAGCTGTGTGGTCTGTCCTGCGACCGTGCTCTGACCAGCCCTGCTGGCACAGGGGCTGTGTGATTAGTGGGCAGGATAACGTCACTGCCATGCGAGGCTCTGTGAACCCCATCCTGAGTGTCTGGTGGGAGCTCAACACCTCACGGGCTGGGAGAGCTCACAGGATCGGGTCCCATGCTAGAGAGGCTCCGGAGCCACTAGGAGGTCCCCAGACTGACTGCCTCGTGCCTTGGGCGAGCCTGGCTAGAACGAGACCCAAAAAGCACAAATGTGAGAGCGAACCAGCTGCTGAAATCTGAGCTTCACTGGGAGCGTTCGGGACAAAACCACCGGCGTGGGAGGAGGGGGGGGGGTTACAGCCGACCCGAAGGAACCCTCTAGCCCAGCATGGCTGAGACCAGGGGAGGCGAGCGGGGCATTGTGAGACCTGACTTTTATTCCCAGCCCTGCCACTAACTCACTGTGTGATCCTGGGCAAGTCACTTCACCTCTTTTCCGCTCCCGTGGTCTGTCTGCCTTGTTTTATCTAGACCGCCTTTGGGGCCGGGGCCATCTCGCTCCGCTCTCATGCGGCGCTTGGCACAAGGGGGCGCTGCTCTTGGTTGGGGCCGGTAGGTGCTATGGTTGGTCAGACTCATTATCTAGGAATTAGGGTGGTCGAGCGATTAAGACAATGAATCGCGATTAACTGCAGTGTTAATCGCACTGTTAAGCGATAATAGAATACTTTTTTAAAAGATATTTTGGGGGGGGTTTCTATATTTTCAAATACACTGATTTCAATTACAACACAGAACACAAAGTGCACAGCGTTCGCTTTAGAGCATTCATTTTGATTACGAATGTTTGCACTGTAGGAAAGACAAACAGAAGAAATAGCCTTTCAATTCACCTCAGACACGTATTGCAGGGCAATCTTGATCATGAAAGGTGAACTTACAAATGAACGATTATGATGTTTGCATAACTCCCGTGTTTGCAAGGGAGGGTGGATTTTACCTCAGGGTCTCTGCAGGCGGCCGGCGAGGAGAGGCGGGGGCAGGGAGGCTGAGCTGCCAGGCCCCTGTTCTCTATGGCAGCGGTTATCAGGCTTTTTGTGCTGGTGACCCCATTTGGACTTAAAAAAAAGTGACCCCCCCCCCCCGATCTTCAGCCCCGGGGGGCTTAGGGCTTCAGCTCCACTCAGGGCAGGGGGATCAGGGCGTGGGACTCCAGGCAGGGCCGGCTCCAGGCACCAGCCTGGCAAGCAGGTACTTGGGGCGGCCGCTCCGGAGAGGGGCGGCACGTCCAGCTATTCGGCGGCAATTTGGCGGACGATCCCTCACTCCCGCTCGGAGCGAAGGACCTCCCGCCGAATTGCCGCC